TGTTTCACCTTCAAATCGCAACTAAAATTCTTCCGTAAAGTCTTGGAATCTCAGCCCGCTTTCCCCATTCTTCCCGCAGAACTTCCCAAGTGGTAGTAACTGTGTCTGCATACGTTTAGTACACTGAATGACCATGCGCGCCAACTCGGTTGACGGTCCTTCACCACCGGCACTCTCACGAAATGCCCCTATTTGATCCGTAGGATTTAAAGACTTATGGGAATCGCCGCCATCATAATTGCTCCATCCTTGAGCTCCTCTCCAGTTCTCCTCCGACGATGTTCCATTGCGGACCTGCAACGATTCATTCATACCCGTGGGACAGCGCCCCCTAGTATTTGCCCCGAAACACCTGTCAAATTCATGCAAAAACTGTGCTCGCAGAACGGTGATCTCTGTTGGTCTACTCTAGATCCACCGTCGCGTAAACCTTGTGTTTTAAATTGGTTCACCTGATTTTTAAGCTCCCATATTAGCTCTGCTTGTCGCTTTACTTCAGCTTCGGTCTCATTCAGTTCACGAACCAAGCTTGATAAACTTTTCTTGCCAGTTTTATTCAAAAGTGTTTTGGCCTCCACGGCCGTATATAACATTTCGCCCAGCTGACAAGGAGACCGCACATCAAATGCTAGGGCTACGTTTTTAAATTTATTGCCCCTTTGTACATCATCGTTGCCGTTCTTTCGCTTAGCAAAAACCGTTCGCGTCGTTAGTACCTCAGCGACCGAGCGGTTATTCGTTTCCCATTCCAACCGCTTTTCTTCCCAGACCGCAAAAGCTTGGCTGATCTTTTCAGCCGCGAGTCTCGCTTCCGTTACATTGAGCACCAAGGCTAGCCTGATATTCTTCAACAGGCAACCCAAAAACTCGGTGCTTCCTTCTCGCCACCAATCTAACGCTTTTGTTACTTCGTCGAAGACTTCTCGGGGAATTTCCTCCTCCCGTTCGCCATCCAATCGTGGACCGTTTCCGGTTTCCACTGATCTGGCATCTTCAACTTTCTTCGAACTTTCCAAAACTTCTTCGCTTCTTCGCCTCCCGAGCGCATTCTCGGCCTCATCAGCACCGAACTGGCCCAGCCCATTGTTGGGCGAGCCTCGCCTGCAGTGGCGAGTCGCACCCCGACGAAACTTCTCGCGGCCTACTGACGCTCCCTTGACGCAGCCTCTTCTCGGCTAAACTGCACGAAGACACTGAAGACATGATGGAAGTTTATTGATGCTGACGAGCCAACAGATGAACAAGAACAATAACAATGAATCAATCCCTGATCACTCACATTTATAT